TGTGTATGTGGTCCAGCATGCTATGGCACACCTGTGGAGGTCAGAGGCTAACTTGTAGGAGTCAGTGCTCTCCTTTCACCATGTGGGTTCCGGGGGACCAAACTCACGTCATCAGCCTCGGCATCAGGCGCCTGTACCAGCTGGGGTGACAGGCCCCGCAAACTGATTTATTACCTAAATGTGATAACTATTTGTGAACTTTGGAAGACATAAGCAAAGAAACATAAGCAAACCTCTTTATGACCTTGTGTAGTTAGGAAAGGCTTCGTAAAATGCAAACAGATAAAGTAAGCTCTTGAAATATCGTTTAAAAGTTTAAACGTTTGTGTATAAGAAAATAAGTAATGAAGTGATGAAAACAAGCCATAGACGAGGAAGAGACATTTGCAAGATGCTGGCTGCTACCTATAATTCTCTTTTTGTGGTTCTGTGGATGGGACCAAGGGCTTTGTGCCTTCTAAGCAAACACTCTTCCCATTGAGTTACATCCCAAGTGCAAGCCTGTAGACACTCCATCTTCCTCTGCGTAGGACAGTCGGAAGCTAACTATGTATTTGACTTTCCCCTTCAGTCAATTGATATCTCCGTCCAAATGCCAGCTAGGAGAATCCCTCTTCGAGCGAGCAGCCTGTTGATAATGCCGCCATTGCTTCCCTTTCTTCCCCTGCTTTGTCTCCATAGCCCTTATTATGCTAACCGTCTGTAACCTATTTGCTTTTTTATTTATTGTCTGTCTCTTCACTAGAAATCATCCCCTTGAGAGGGAGGGCTTTGTTTTTCTGGCTGCCATATCCTTTGGTTCTCAAATACTGTCCACTACATAGCATATACCAATGAAAACCACACTTGTCACGAGACTGAGTGCATGAATATAAATAATAATAATTAGCATTCAGAATATGTAAAGAGTCTGCATCAATTAAAAGCTAACAAGGGCCTTAAGAGGAAAATTGTCAAGGGCTGTAGGCAAGCTGTTCATGGAAGAGGAAATCTGAAGGGACAGTGAAAATATGGAAACATTTAACATAATTTATAATCAGGAAAAATGAAAATGAAATAATAACGACTACTTCATACCCATGAGATTGGTAAAAATGAAAACCTGATAATGCTTGTTATCTGTAAGAACTTTGGGGACAAGGACACTGTTTCCTGTTAGGTGGAGCATATACTGATACAAGTATCTTGGGGAAGAATTTGGTAGCTGTCAAGGACCACCCTCGACTGGATTCACACGTTTCAGGATAGGAGCGTGAGGATTAGAATTATTAAGCAAAAAGGAACAGAGATAAGAGAGAAATAAGAGACAAAACACAGAACAGCATCGGGAGGGAAATTCAGTGACTACTGAACCACTCCTTTATTTCTCACATGTTTTTTTATACCCCACTCCTAAAGAGGAGGGGGAGGCAACAGACTTCATCAACATGATGAAAGGAATAGACAGAGCATCTCTGACCTTTGGTCAAGATGGAGCTGATGCCCATCAAAATCCCAGCAAAATTCTTCAATGACCTCAAAAAAACGGTACTCAACTTCATATGCAAAAGCAAAAAACCCAGGATAGCCAAAACAGCCCTGTGCAATAAAAGAACTTCTGGAGGCATCGCAATCTCTGACTTCAAACTCTACTACAGAGCTACAGTACTAAAAACAGCCTGGTATTGGCATAAGAACAGACAGCAGGACCAATGGAACTGAATAGAAAACCCAGATATCAATCCACACACCTTCGAACACCTAATCTTTGATAAAGAAGCAAAAAAATCAAATGGAAAAAAGAAAGCATATTTAACAAGTGGTGCTGGCATAACTGGATATCAACATGTAGAAGAATGAAAATAAACCCATATCTAGCACCATGCACAAAACTCAAGTCCAAATGGATCAAAGACTTCAACATAAAGACAGCCACACTGAATCTTATAGAAGAGAAAGTGGTACGTACACTTGAAAGCATTGTTACAGGGAACCACTTCCTAAATAGAACCCCAGCAGCATAGACACTGAGAGAAACAATTAATAAATGGGACCTCCTGAAACAGAAAAGCTTCTCTGTAAAGCAAAGGACATGGTCAACAAGACAAAACGACAGCCTGGGAAAAGATCCCCACATTAGACAGAGGTCTGATCTCCAAAGTATACAAAAGAACTCAGGAAATTGGACACCAAAAGATCACATGAGCCAATAAAAAAATGGAGTACAGACCTAAACAGAGAACTCTCAACAGAGGAATCTAAAATGGCTGAAAGACACTTAAGAAAATGCTCAACATCCTTAGTCATCGGAGAAATGCAAATCAAAACAACTCTGAGATTCCATCTTACACCTGTAAGAATGGCCATGAACAAAAACACTGATGACAGCTTATGCTGGAGAGGTTGTGGGGGAAAGGAAACACTTCTGCATTGCTGGTGGGAGTGTAAGCTGAAACAGCCCTTTTGGATGTCAGTGTGGCGATTTCTCAGAAAATTAGGAAACAGCTTTCCTCAAGACCCAGGAATACCACTTTTGGGTATATATCCAAAGGATGCTCAATTGTGTCACAAGGACATGTGCTCAACTATGTTCATAGCAGCATTGTTTGTCATATCCAGAACCTGGAAACAACCTAAATGCCCCTCGACTGAAGAATGGATAAGGAAAATGTGGTACATTTACACAATGGAGTACTACACAGCAATAAAATAAAATAAAATAAAATAACATCTTGAATTTTGCAGGAAAATTGATGGAACTAGAAAACATTATTTTAAGTGAGGTAACCCAGACACAGAAAGACAATTATCACATGTACTCACTCATAGTTGGTTTTTAAACATAAATCAAAGAAAGCCAGCCTACAAACCACAGTCCCAGAGAACTTAGACAAGAATGCGGACACTAAAAGAGACTTACATAGATCTAATCTACATGGGAATAGAAAGTAGAAAAATACAAGATCTCCTCAATAAATTGGGAGCATGGGGACCTTGGGGGAGGATTGAAGGGGGGAGGGGAGAGGCAGGGAGGGGAGCAGAGAAAAATGTAGAGCTCAATAAATATCAAAAGAGATAATTAATATAAAAAATAAACAAATCTAATATACATAAAAAGATGGAGCTGATACACCTCTGTACTCAAAATCCTGATTAAGCACCCTATGTCAGGGTCTCTTGTTCTGTAGTCACTTGTTGTCAACAGCTTTGAAAGGACAGAGCAAGCTTGAACTCGCTGACCTCACATCTGTGGACCCTGACAGGTAGCATATAATAAAGATGAACTTACATATATTTTCTCAGACTCAGAAATGCTACTTTGAAAGTGGGATATGGAGGCACATGCCTTTAATTTCAGCACTCTGGAGGCAGAATGATCATGAAGGTGAGTTCTAGGTTAGCCTAGACTACAGGGAAAGACTCAGTTTCAAAATAAAGGGAAATGGAAATTGCACTTCCTAGAAAATCTGATAGAGGTATTTTTCCATATCTGAGTGAAGAGAGGAGACAGGATTGTTTAGAGTGGGATTGTTTGTAGTGGCGAATGACTGGGTAGAGCCCTAATGCCCAATAGCAGGAGAATGGAAAAAGGAGTCGTGCTAATCTCATATGGCAGGATACTACATGACAGTAAAAATTATCCCATTTTATATAACTATACACAAAGCGGTGGGAAAAAATCATAAACAGATTGGGCATAAAAATCACATCGCAGAATAAATACTGCCTTCTCTTTAGTGAAGCTTCAAAACACAGCAAACAGATGTCACTGAACAGAGGAATGTGCACTAGAGAAGATAGTGGCTTTCCGTAGAGTGTGACGGAGAGCCGTGAGGTCAGTAGAGGCTCTAATGTGCGTGCTCTTTAGCACTTCAGGAAGAAGGCAGTATTTGAGCTGGACGTGGAACATGCCTGTGTCTCCAGCACGTGAGAAGCAGAAGGAAGACGATGACTAGTTCAAGGCCAGCCTGGGTTACATAGGAGACCATCCCTTAAATCAGGCCTGGGGGACAGATCTCAGGGGTAGGGTGTCTGTCTGGTCAGAGCAAAGTCCTGGCTTTAATCCCTAGCACTTGAAGCGAACAAACAACAGCACTAACAAATAGAAATGACCCAGAGAAGCAAATGTATCACAAGTCAATAAGGATAGCCACAGATTACTTTATACATGGCTTCTTTTTATTATTCCCTTAGTGTGTGCTGGCAATGATTCATTTCAAACGTTTTTATCAGTTCAGTATCATATATTTGGTGTGTGGGTTGTGAAGAGTCTAAATACAGCTAGGTGTGGTAGCACATGCCTCCTAGCTCTTGGGAGGCTGAGTCAGGAGAATCATGAGTTTGAGGTTCGTCTATTTTATCTAATGAGACCCTATTGTGAAATTAAATAAGTATATAAACAAATAAAAATAAAGAAGCTAAGCAGTTTGATACCATTTTCACATTCTTATGCTATCTGCTTTCCGTTACATTATCCTTAGTGTTATTTGCTCAACAGGGATCACACAGTTCTTGAGTTTGAATCTCAGCTTAACTTGGGACAGGGGTCAGAATACATGCTGTAGGTTAGGGGGATGGCTCAGTGAGTAGAGTTGCTTTCTGCCAAGTCTGATGACCCCAGTTCCATCCCTGGTACTCACATGGTGAAAGGAGAACTGTAACTCTTGAGAGTTGTTTTCTGCCCTCCATACAGCTATCATCATCATCATCATCATCATCACACACACACACACACACACACACACACACACACACACACACACCAAAACAAAACAAAATAAACAAGCAACAACAAAAACCCCATGAAGCAGGGGGACATATTTTAAAGAACCAGATAACAAGTAGGCTATATGGACTCTGTGGTGGTTTGAATGAATATCCTTTTGAATACTGATCCCTAGTTAGTAGCACTGGCTGGGAAGGAGGTGTGGCCTTGCTGGAGGAAGTACATTGCTGGGAGGCAGGCTTTGCGAGTTTAAAGACTGTCTATTTCAAATTTACTGTCTGCCTTTTGTTTGTAGATCTCAGCTTCCTGCTGCATCTGCCAGGCCTGCTTGCTGCTATGCTCCCCTACTGTGATGGTGATGGGCTCATCCCTCTGGAACTGTAAGTCCCCCCCCCCCCAAAAAAAATAACCCTTCCTTCTATAAGTTGCCTGGTCATGTGTTTTATCACAACAATAGAAAAGTAACTAATACAGGTTCTACTACACTTGCTCACAACTGTCATTTTATGGTAAAATAACGTGTTATGCAGAATTCTAAGATGATTCCCCAGATTGCTGACCCCTGATGCCTGCATCTTTTATTTTAGTTGTTAAATCAAACTCTAATCTAGGTACTGCTGCACACATTTCGAAGTGTGACTAGGTTCCAAATCAGCTCATCTACATTCTCCTTGGTAGGCTTGATATATTTTAATCTTTAGAGGAAATTAGATTTTCTCTTTCTCCCAAGAAGAGAGATTCAAATTGTTAAAGAATTTTAAAGAAGGTAAAAGTGATGCATGCCAAGGAAGATAGGTGGCTTCCAAGAGTTCGGAGTGGATCTGGGCTGAAGTCCAATTTGAGAACGTACATTTTAATAGTACCAGTGCAAGGTGCTGCTTCCTGGAAACAACTATGTGAACTTCAAAGAAGATTTTGAGGGTGTGCTGGCACATACCTATAATCCCGGCACCGAGGATGGGGGAACGAGGTGAGAAGATTGCTTGTTTAAGGATAGTTTGAGGCCGGGCCTTGGTGGCACATGCCTTTAATCCCAGCACTCGGGAGGCAGAGGCAGGCGGATCTCTGGGAGTTCGAAGCCAGCCTGGTCTACAAGAACTAGTTCCGGGACAGGCACAAAAGCTACAGAGAAAGCCTGTCTTGAAAAACCAAAAATTAAAAGAAAAGGATAGCTTGAGGAAGGTACAGAATGAACCTTGTGCCAAAAAATAAATGAGAAGAAAACAAATAAAAGAAGAGAAAAAGGAGAAAGAAAGAAAGGAGGAAAAAAGGATACACTGAGATTCAGGTGAGATGGCTATTCCAGCGCCAGCTGACACTTCTGAGTTTAGCCTGGTGATACCCTGGGAAGAGTGTTCTGCTAAATCCTGCTGAGACTTGGAGAATCAGTGAGATAATAAAGCCGTGCTGTACTGAGCCACTTAGTTGAGATAATTTGTTACACTATAGGAAGTGGATGAGAATAGATATCAATACATGAGTGAGTAAGGGACAGTCACTTTTATGGAAAATGGATTTTTTCATATTACAATTATGATTTCCCCTCCTGCTGTTCCTCCCAGCTCCTCCCCACCTTCCCTCTCATCTAGATCCACCCTCTTTCTGTCTCTTAGAAAACAAATGGGCTCCTATGGGCTAATAATAAGATATAGTAAGACAAAACAAAAACTTACACATTGGAATTGGACAGAAAAAGAAAACAGTCCAAGAGAAGGCACAAGAAACAGAGATCCACTCGTCTACACATTCAAGAATCCCATAAAGGTGTTGGAGAGATGGCTCAGTGGTTAAGAGCACCAGCTGCTCTTCCATAGGTCCTGAGTTCAATTCCCAGCAACCACATGGTGGCTCACAACCATCTGTACTGAGATCTGGCGCCCTCCTCTGGCCTGCAGGCATACATGCAGGCAGAATGTTGTATGCATAATAAATAAATCTTTTTTAAAAAAGAATCCCATAAAAATGGAGAACTGGAGGACATAATATATATGGGAAGGGTCTTCAGGGTATAAGAGAGAAGAAAAATGTATAAATAAAATAAAAATAGTAAGATAAACAAAAACAAAACACAAAAAGGAAGAGCCCTGACATGACACGAGACATGGAACCTTCGAAGATGTTGTTCAGTTCAATTCTGTTGGCCATCAATTGCTGGGCACGTAGCCTACCCTTAAGAGTAGTTTGTTTCTCCAGCGAGACTTCCTTGGAGAAAACTAATTTTTTCATTTGCATACGGTTATCAACTGGGGATTGCTTCTGGGTTAAGGATGGGAGCATCCACTTCTCCTCTCAACTCTAGGACCCCTGAATCATTAAATACATGTAATGGCTATTCTTGGTTGTCAACTTGACTACATACAGAATTAACTAAAACCCAAATGTCTGGGTACACCTGTGAGGGATTTTTTTCTTAGTTAAATCTTTTGAAGTGGGAAGACCCGCTTCTAATCCAGATCTTTGAGGTGGGAAGATCCACTTTTAATCCAGATCATTTTAGGTGGGAAGAACCACCTGAAATCTTATCCTTCTGGTAATAACGTCTAAAAGGATATGGAAAAAGGAAGCTTTTGCTCTTTGCCTGCTTCCTCGCTCTGCAGGCAAGCCCATTCCTTCACTGGCATTAGAGCCTACTTCATTGGGATTCTGGTGTATATTGAAGTTCGGCTGAGACATCCAGCCTCAACGATTGAACAACCACTGGGTTCTTGGGCTTTCATTCATAGGCGGCCATTGTTGGACTAGCTGAACCACATCGAATAAATCATTCTAATAAACCCCCTTTCTTTTTTTTTAATTTATTTATTTATTAAAGATTTCTGTCTCTTCCCAGCCACTGCCTCCCATTTCCCTCCCCCTCCCCTAATTAAGTACCCCCCCCCCCTCAGCCCGAAAAGCAATCAGGGTTCCCTGTCCTGTGGGAAGTCCAAGGAACCCCCCACCTCCATCCAGGTCTAGTAAGTTGAGCATCCAAACTGCCTAGGCTCCCACAAAGCCAGTACGTGCAGTAGGATCAGAAACCCAGTGCCATTGTTCTTGAGTTCTCAGTAGTCCTCATTGTCCGTTATGTTCAGAGAGTCCGGTTTTATCCCAGGCTTTTCCAGACCCAGGCCAGCTGGTCTTGGTGAGTTCCCAGTAGAACATCCCCATTGTCTCAGTGTGTGGGTGCACCCCTCATGGTCCTGAGTTCCTTGCTCGTGCTCTCTCTCCTTCTGCTCCTGATTTGGACCTTGAGAATTCAGTCCTGTGCTCCAATGTGGGTCTCTGTCTCTGTCTCCTTTCATCGCTTGCTGAAGGTTAATATTCAGGAGGATGCCTATATGTTTTTCTTTGGGTTCTCCTTATTTAGCTTCTCTAGGATCACTAATTATAGGCTCAATGTCCTTGGTTTATGGCTAGAAACCAAATATGAGTGAGTACATCCCATGTTCCTCTTTTTGTGTCTGGCTTACCTCACTCAGGATAGTGTTTTCTATTTCCATCCATTTGTATGCAAAATTCAAGAAGTCCTTGTTTCTTACTGCTGAATAATACTCTAATATGTATATATTCCATACTTTCTTCATCCATTCTTCCATTGAAGGGCATCTAGGTTGTTTCCAGGTTCTGGCTATGACAAACAATGCTGCTATGAACATAGTAGAGCATATACTTTTGTTGTATGATAAGGCCTCTCTTGGGTATATTCCCAAGAGTGGTATTGCGGGGTCCAGGGGTAAGTTGATCCCAAATTTCCTGAGAAACCGCCACACTGCTTTCCAAAGTGGTTGCACAAGTTTGCATTCCCACCAGCAATGGATGAGTGTACCCCTTTCTCCACAACCTCTCCAACAAAGGCTATCATTGGTGTAATAAACCCCCTTTCTATATACATATAGAGTGATTCAATCTATGAGTTCTGTTACTCTAGAAAACCCTGACTAATACATATACAAAAGTTCATTTTAGCTCATGGGCTGAAGAAAAAGCAGCAGTAAAACGGATGCAGACTAGGAGTTGTGCGAATAGTTTTGTTACTCTTGATCTAAGAATTGGTGTGTTTTTCTTTGGTCAAACTCTCTATAAACTTTTGAGAAATTTTCATGTCTCACTAGTCTGGAAATGAGTCTTTCCAAACATTCTCTTCAGAATTTGAAAGGAGTTATGGGTCATTTTCTTCATATAGGACTGTAAGCATCATAGGGCTTTTCCAAACATACATGTGCTTAAAAATTATTGGTGCTGGAGACTAAGAACTGAATCCAGGGCCTGACACATTCTTAGCACCAGCTCTAACACTAGCATCCCCTCCCTGCCACACAGCATATTAGAAAATACTTCTAATGTGCTAAAACTCTCAAATACCAATATGAACCATTTAATTTATACATCAATTGCTAGCACTCAAAGAGGCTCAAAGGAACATTGACAGCTAATGAAAATATTGTAGTTATTTATTTATTTTATATTTCCCAAGGAAGTATTCTTTATTCCTTTGATTATCTAATCCTAACTAGTTGATAAGTATGCTTGGCCTTTCCTAAGACACATCAATTAGTGTGGCTGTTGTTATTAATCTACTGACAATTCATATTTGCAAATATCTGATATATCATGCATTAATTTTTAGAATTTAAATAAATTGCTAAATAAGGAATTCAGAGTGCTGTATCTAAACTTTTTAAATTGGAAATAGACATATGCAAGCGGGTAGGACCCTTAGACACAATAGTTCAGCAGTACAAGGTAGACCTGTGTCCATGGGGTATGACATTCACGAAGAGATGGCCTGGAGCTGTGTTACTATAGGGCAGCATTGCACCTCTGGTCTGCTCTATAGTGTTCCCACTGCTAGGATTGTGAATGAGTCACGGCAACAATATGCTTGGCGTATTCTAGTTATTACAATTAACTCTACTTTCATTCATTTCTTCCCTGCAAATGGTCTCTCTCTGTGTGTGTGTGAATGTGTGTGTGTGTTTGTGTGTGTGTGTGTGTTTGTAGACATCTAGGTTGATTCTGTAGCCTGGGTATTGTAATAGTGCAATAAACATAGATGTGTAACTATCTGAAGTGTGGTGACATAGATTCCTTCTGGCATATATCCAGGAGTGGCATAACTGGATCATATGATAGTTCTAGTGTTAGTTTTTTTTTTAATATTGTTTTTATTTACTGTGTATGTGGTATGTGGTGTGTGTGTGTGTATGATATGTAGTATGCCCTCAGAGTCCAGAAGAAGGGCTTTGGCTCTCACCGAGTGGGAGTTACAGATGATTGTAAGCCACCACGTGGTCCTGGAAACTGACTCCGGGTCCTCTGAAGAGCATCAGGTGCCCTTAGCCACTGAGTGCTCTCTGCGGGAACTATTTTTAGTTGTGTGAGGGAGCTCCGCAGTGGTGTC